ATGATAATAATAATTATACAGCATTCCATCTTGTAAAACAGCAGTGACGGTGAGCAAAAGTGTGGAAACGAGAAACAAGAAACGAAAAACGAGAAACGAGAAATGAGCTGCCCTTGTGCTGGTTTGAACCCATCTCAGCTGGTGCCTAAAGCAAATACCACATAATGTCTTTGTGTGAGTGCGTGTAACAGGAGTAGTAACAATGGCGCATAACATGAACACACAAATAGATCATTTAAGAAGAAAACAGTACATTCTTTTTCTTCTCTTTATCATAACGACACTGCTCAAGAGAACCCATTGTCTATGGTGATCACTTTGGGTGGTCATATAATAATATTGGAGAACATTTTGTAATAATAGGCGTTTTTTAATGCCCCTGTCTCTTCAGTTCGAAAAAGGTTTGACTGTTGAGGGGTGTGAGACGCAGCGACAACTTACAAAGTGCAGAAAAATCCGTAGCACAATGCAGCCCAACCGGAAAAACATTGTCAATATGTTTGAAAAGTTACTTATGAGATGGTATACTTAAAGAAAAAAAGAATAACAATACATGCAGAGTCCTAATAATATAATATGCACCACTGAACGGAGTGTACACGTATGGGTGTATAGTGAAATAGCAGAAATCTTTCAGAAGGGGAAAAAGCTCAATTTTGATTGAATCAACAGCAGACTACATACAGCTCTGGCACATTCGGTATTCCAGCATGACAGCGGAGGAGAATGGTCTTGTATACATGAAAAAAAATGAGTAAAGGTTTGGAAACAAAATGTCGTCTCACAACTTCCAGCAATAATAATCTTTGCATCTTTCAAACATGCCTGTGAAAGTCTAGCTTAAGTAAGAGCTTTATGGCACTCGCAACACAAATGCTTGTGGCAGTGCAGCAGCTTGATAGATGCCAGTAGCTATTGATCTATCGTTCACAAAATGGTAAAATAAAGGTCTCTCTGTACATTTGACATGTATTTTTATTTACACCAGATCTTGTCATACTAGATGCTGTCACCCACGTGTGGGCAATGTTGTAATTTTGGCGGATGGTGAGGATCACATGGGTGTATGTGTGTATGGCTCTCTTCATCTATGCAGATGGTCAATTTAGCTTGAGATGTTCTCAAGGTTGTCTTCATGCAGCTTCTTTCATGGCTGATTCTTCCTATGTTGGAAGCACAGATTCTGTCGCAGTGCTTTTATGTCTGTGACGTGGATCGCATGGGTAGGGACAGAGGTATTATTCAATGTCTCGTTTTGGAAAAACATGTAAGAAAGCAGTACAATAATTTTAGCCTCTTATAGGTGACAAAAATGGGCGCTGGCTGTAAAAAGGTCGACAAGCACTGATTTACACCAAAGAATGTAAACCAACAATTAACTGTCATAATTTTCAAGCACAAAACTTCCGAATAGAAAGAGAAAAAAAAGCTTATAACAGGGAGCCCACAGTGATCTATACAAAAACATCCAAACTTTATCAAGGACAAATTACACCAGTACTGACACTGAAAAGAAGTGACAGTGGTGCATTTTACAATAGTGCCCAACATCTGATAGATAAAAGGCAAAGGTGAGGAGGTGAAGAGCAAAGAGCTCAGTTTTCTTTGAAGTCACAACAAGAATGGCCACACTTTTTACACAACAACTGGATATTATAACACCATGTCAATCTTATACACAAATGAAGATTCCAGGGGAAAAAGAAATAAGCCACAAAGTTTTGTCTTTTAAAAAATCATTTTGCCTTGTTGCAATCTTTAAAAATCAAACTTTCTTATCCACAAATGATCCTACACATAACCTAGATTAAGTCTTGCGTTATGTAAGGTAAAAGAAATGTCAATATGCTATGCTCACAATGAGATACAGACTAATAATAAACTCTGAAATTCCATTTTCTCCACTTTCTTCCAATTATGTGACTTACTAGATTTTCTTCCAGTGGGGTCTTCAATTATTCTCCTCTGGATAATGAAATCATGCACACACACAAACAAAGAGTTTTCACCCACCCCCCCACCCCCAACCATCGAGGCATGCTTTGAAGGCAATTGCCCACAATGATGAAGCCAGCAGACAAAAGGTCATTGCTATCAAAACTGCTGTTCGGAGTTCGGGGAATAGAAACCCAAGGAAAGTAGAGAAGGGAAAAAAAGGACACAAAAAACACTCAGAAGATTGTTAGTAATATCACCACAATGTGTCTTTCTTGGAATCTGAGGCGTGGGACGGAGAAAATATATATGGCCGTGCCGGGATGGTGAAAGCATCAGCCCTTCAGACCAATCACCAATCACCTCTGAAAGTAACGAGGCGCTGCGTGCACAATCCAGAGCACACATTTACTGTTTGACTTGTCGCAGCTTTAGTCAGGAGAGTTCGTTTTAACCTGCTGTAATGACCACCTGTCCAAGAAAATCCCTTGTTCAAATGACTCTTCCCACTACACCGTACCCCCCTGGGTTTAAAAAAAAAATAGACCAGGACAGAAGTAGGCTACGTCGAGAGCTCTTGTTCATGGCCTATATTCCGGTGTGGGGCTGTAAAAGGCTGATGGACGACAATGACGATGATGATGATAATGATGATGATGACGATGACGATGACGATGATAATGATGATGATAATGATGATGATAATCAGCCTGCATAAAAAGACAACCAGTCTGAGAAAACCACTTTTCTCCTGGGCAATATCAGTGTGGTCATCTTGCTTGACTGTACCACCACAACCCCCATCATTGTACAAACAATGTCCAAGTCCTGAGAGTGAGAAGCAGCCCACTGACTGAGTCTCAGACCTCTCCCACAATCGTCTCTCCCATAGTCATCCCTCACACAATCACACAATCATAACTCACACAATCATTCCTCACACAATCATCCCTTACATAATCACACACGTTCTTTTCACAATCACACAATCACCCCTTCACACTATCGTATCTCACATTACACAATCACCCTTCACACAACAATCACCCCCTCACACGATCGTCCCTCTCAAACCGTTGCCCGTTATCGCAGATGAGGGGCTGGGCGTGTCTGGAGTATACGGCGACGACCCCTGGTGGTGTTGTTGTTGGAGCTGGTGAAGGTGAAGGTCACCGCCCCCACCATCGCAGCTGCTACTGTCCTGACGGTTAACGCCCACACCCATGCCCACGCCCACGCCACCGACACTGTTGGGTCGTGGGACTTGGTACACTTGGGAGGAGGGAGGAGATTCGTCTCTTCTGTTGGCGTGTGCGCCTTTTCGAGGGTGGTGGTGGAACTGCTGCAGGTTCTCTGGCATGCTGGCGGAGGCTTTGTGCGGAGGCGGCTCGTTGCCGTAAAACATGACTGGCAGCTGGAACAACAAGGTGGATCAATGAGAGAACTTGTAATAATATGGTTGCTTTTAACTCAATGAAGACGTGCATTCTGGTCATTCGACAATGTGTGAAGATGTGCCGTTTTGGGGCGAACTTCATCATTGTAACATATTTTTTTAAACTTTGTTTTCTTTATTTGAAATGTTATGAGGCATGTACCAATTATGCATGCCATGAAATATGAAAACTCGTGTCTCTGATTTGTGTATGATGGTTCGAAATGTACCGAAATATTGTTTTTCCCCTGCTGCTCATCGCACGTATGTGTCCGCTACGTCTTCAAAGAGTTAAAGCACATGGGGGCTATCCCAAAAAATGCTGTTTTGAGAAAATCAAAAGTAAAGTTTTTGAACCCTTGTTCAGTTTCCTTAAGAGACAAGGGGAGTTTTTCTCTATAACCAAACAAATATACACACCAATGAAACCAAATTTCTCCTATAAGTAAGGCAATGACCACTTTTGGTGTGGGTCAAGATTTCTGGAAACCCCCAAAATTGGGTTAGCCTGCTTGTCCTTTAAAGCGGCCATGAAAGTATTTCTATGACTTTTAAAGCACGTAATATTTTAATTTGGACCTGTTAACTAATAGAATGCAGAGTGTGGGCGAGATAACTTTTTTTGGTTTTAATACAATGCATTGAATACAAAGTTAAAAGGAAGATTTGTTTTCTATTTATAGAGAACGAATGTTTTTATAGAATGTTTCTAGCTATTCAAGTTTCAATTTTAGTTTGACAGTTCATGAATTTTTACTGTATTCTGTATTCTTAGCGAACGCATCGTCAGGCTCATTGTGTTAATATTTTTCTCATAGAAATTTTTATACATATATATATAATAGGCATAATACTATTTCTATGTTTTACGTACAGACGTGTCCATTAATTTTTAAGGTGTGATATGTTTATTAATGTAATGCTCTTTGAGTATTTTTTTTTTTTGAAAATGGAAATGGACAGCATAAATGCTATTCATTATAATTATTACTTGTCGCATTAAATCAAAGCAAGAGTGTGATACTTTATCTATAAGTTAGGAAATCAAGAAAAGCACTTAAAATTTGTACTGTGCATTTCAATGAAATGAAAGCCGTCTTCAAAATTTTCTAAATTGTATCGATTGAGAGAGTGAGGAGGGCGTGGGGTGGAAGGGGGGGGGGGGCGGGATAAAACACCTATTAAAAATTGTTTTTGAACGAGTTGCAAATATCACAGACAAAATTTACACACTCAAGCATTTTAACATGTGAAGAATACAACCCCCCCGGGGGGGGGGGGGGGGGTACAAAAGGACTCCAGGGCGTATGGATAGGGTTAAGCTTATATTTATATTATCATTGCACGTACCACCAATCCGATTCACAGACAAAAGGCTGCAGGTACCACTGAGACAATTCACGGCCTCAGTGCTTTCTTGTCCCATCTCCATTTATAATCAACAATGAAAACAGTTCACAACAAAGAGTGAGCTTAAGAAGAAGCCACATTTTCACTGTTTTAAAGAAATGGAGAAAGGACAAGAAAGCGCTGAATTGTCACATTTTCACTGTTTAAAAAAGTGGAGAGAGGACAAGAAAGCACTGAATTTATTCCACTCTCACCTGTGCTGGTGCTGACACAGCAGAGTCCTGAGAAGCTTTGGAGACGAGATTATCATCACAACTTTCATCATTTTCCTCGTCACTGACCGCTACGTCCTTATAGCGGTCTGTATCGGCACCAGGGGGCTCCTGGCGTTTCTCCTGACCCAGCAGCTTTCTCTCATCGGTCAGAGGAGAAGGTTGAGGGGACAGGGAACTTGGGCGGATAACGTACCTGGTGGGGTTTCAGTTTTCATTTTATAAAGAGTTTTTGTAAGCTCTTACAAAATAAATAGGCTATTTAATGGCAAAAGATTAAAGGTGTTTTTCAAGAGAGTAACATTCAGAGACAAGAAGGAGAGATAAGGAGGACAGACGTTTGATAGGATAGAAAGAGCAAACTACATCAGAGTACCCAACAACCACTCAGCTGTATCTGGTTCACAAACATAATAATATCTACTTACTTTTCCTTTTTCTTTTTCCTCCTCTATTGCTGTTAAGCATCAAGGGGAGATGCAGTTCTCCTGGGAAGACCAGCTCTGCAGCTCTTTTAATTGGGATATTGTAATTTCTCAGGTTTTCCATGACTTTCTCAATCCGTTTTTGTGTGATCTACCTTTTTCCTTATAGCCATATCAACAAGCCAATACTGTACGTCTTTTTTCATGCTAACGACTACACAGAAAAGAATTAATATTATAATAATGGCTCCCTCTATGGAATCGAACTCTCATCTGCTTGCTAGCAGCAATGGCAAAGAGCCCCACTATTTCACCACAGACACTAGTAATTTTGCTGTAGATCATGTGTACATTGGGCATTACATCTGCTGCTTACACAATGTCCCCAGGCTCCAGCTTCAGATCATAGCTTGGGTTGATGATCACATAGGAGATGGTGGAACGGCGATCGCTCACTTCATCTGAAATGTGAGTAGAACATTACAAATGTTATAAAAAATGTATATTATATTTTTTATGCCCCTTTCAACATAACAACCACGCTCACCAATATCCACCAATCACAGACTGTAATAAAAACTACACCCACCAATCACCTACTATATCAACGTCTACAAAGCTACACCCACAAACATCCACTTATCACTGTCTCTATCAACAATGACACCCTCCAACACCCACCAATCACTGACTCTTTCAATAACCACACCCACAAACACCCACCAATCACCAACTCTATGAACAACCACACCCACCAACATCTTTTTCTACCAACAACAACACCCACCAATCATTGACTCTATCAACAACCACACCAACAACATCTTTTTCTACCAACAACAACACCCACCAATCACTGACTCTATCAACAACCACACCAACAACATCTTTTTCTATCAACGACCACACCCACAAACATCCACCAATCACCAACTCTCTCAACGACCACGCCTACTCACTTTTATGGTAATCGTCCAATGGCAGCCCCTGACTCTGCATACGACACTTGACCATCTGGATGATCTCCTGTCTCTCTGGCGTGAACTTGCCGCCATCCCCAGTGTCCTCGACATGCGCTGCCAGGGACATCTACAAAGGAGGAGACAAAAGGAATCCGTTTGAGTAAAGGCTAGTTTGTTTAGTTTAATAAGGGTTTTACGGCGCTCGCAACTGGATAAGGTCATATGAGCGCGAATGACTAGTTTCTAGTTAAGTTTTTACGAATGAGAGTTTTACATTACTTACATAAAACGCAATGGATCACATAATTGTCAAAGATTATATAAAACACAAAAATAAAATGATTTTTTAAGAAACCCAACACGATCAGTCAGATTAGTGTCAAAGACTAGAGATGTTTATAGAGAATAACAAACAAAGAAAATCTGGTTCTGTTCAGTTCTAATTTGTTTTGTTTTTGTAAAAGTTTTATGGCACTTGCAACTAGGTCATAATTATATAAGTGCCAAAGAGAAGAAGGAAGAGTTATAAGGATAATAATTATATTTGATATGTGTGTGTGTGTGTGTGTGTGTGTGTGTGTGTGTGTGTGCGCGTGCGTGCGTGTGTGTGCGTGTGTTTGTGTGTGTGTGTATGTGTGTGTGTGTGTGTGTGTGTGTGTGTGTGTGTGTGTGTGTGTGTGTTTATGTGTGTGTATGTCTGTACGCTTGGTGAAACACCAAACCAATGTACCCGTGTCTTGCCTTAAAGATTAATCTACATCAATGTCTTGCCTTAAAGATTAATCTTACATCTTATCTGTCTAATCTACTCCTACCCTATCAATACAAAGGAATTTGTCAGAATTAGGGGAAGAGGACATCTATGATAACAAGTTATTAAGAGCTGAAAAATTAAAAAAATGAAAGAAAAAGTGAAAAAAACACACATGGCAATAACATTGAAATGTGACATACTAAAAGCATTGAAACAGCCCTTTACCATTACAAATGATACACTTTCAGAAATGTATATGTTGTAATTACATGTATATACATAATAAAGTAAAATACATTTTCCCTGCTTTTCAGAGGTCAATCTAGGCTATAATATTATAATGTTACACATGCCAGCCCCAACAAAAAGATTATTAAAAACCCATTCAGTGAAATTATTTTATCATCTTCCTCGTGCAAGAACAGAACTCATGGCTTGTGCATTCAAGGAAAAGAACTACTACCATCGCACAATAGACACATTATATTTCTTTTTTGCAAGGCGTGCTGAAAAATGAGTTACTTCCCGCAATCCACACATGACGATATTGGCCAAAAACAAACACAGGGTGTAATTTGTAGATTTTCTATTGATGCCATATAATAATATTCTTAAAATATAACAAACCTTTCATTATTTCATACTTATAAATAGTAAAAGTTTCACTAATAAGCGTGATGTAGGTGGCTATATATTTCCATAAGGTTTTAATCCGAGAAGTAACTCATTTTGCCAGCACGCTTAACTGTGTCAGATGACTTAAAAAGAACAACCAACAACTGTACTAACACTGAGGACATAAGCAGGATGAACAGTTTACACATAAAATAAAGAGGGCAACCTAAGAGAACACATTGTGTCATATATTATACATGTATATATATATATATATATATATATATATATATATATATATATATATATATATATATATATATATATATATATATATATATTAATACTACTACTACTGTGGTGCCATTCCACCTGGCAGCCTGTTTGATTTCTCATTTTCTACTTGGCGTGCTGCGTCAATTGGTTAGGGTTAATTAAGGTAAGGGTTAGGGTTGGGTGAGGGTTTGGGTTAGGGTTAGGACTGGTGTTTGGGATAGGGTTAGGCTATTGGTTAGGGTTAAGGTTGGGGTTGGGGTTAAGTCCGCGTAGGGTATGGTCTAGGTTTTGGGCTAGGGCTAGGGTAAAGGATGGGATTAGAGATAGGGTTTGGGCTACAGTTAGGGTTAAGGTTAAGTTAGCGTCAGGTTAAGATTAGGGTCTGGGTTAGTGATTGTAGCAGACAAATAGAACGTCAACTTTTTAATGGAGCAATCGTCAGACTGGTCCAGTGGTAGACCGTCAAGTAGAACAAAAACATGGTGGTAGACCGCTAAGTGAGCTGCCATGGCAACCTGCTACCGATACTACTAATCAATGCACGAAATTCCGAACACCTGAAAGTGTCCACAAACAATACTTAAACTTGGTATCCATTCATCATCTAAAACTGAAAAAAAAAAAACATTTTTAATTTAAAAATATGATACTAAATAAAAATCAGCGAAGCCTACTCAAAAAGGCTCTGTCACACACAGCCACGAATAATCTTATATTTTAGTCAAAAACAAACATCATGATAATCAAACAAAAGTTTGCAGTTTTTCCTTTAAAATTCGCTATTTAAGTCAACAAAAAAGTTTTAAAAAACAAAGAAAGAAAGAAAGAAAGAAAGACACAAACAAAAAACGTACTTCCTCTTTTGAAAGTTACTGATTTTGTGAAAATGAAAAGTTCTAAACTTTCTCACTTTCATCGACCATGCATAGATTGCGAAAACAAAAGTCTCTCTAATAGAAAATTAAATGTTTAAAATAGTAGTTATAGGCCTAACCTTTTAATGCTTTTTATTGAGACTTATGTGTATACCAAGAGCAACGTAATTGAGAAAACTTGAACAGATGGGTATCGGGGAGGAACCAAGTTTATATTATTATTATTACTATAGGGTAAATATTGAGAGCATCTGAACAGAGAAATGAATGGAAAACCATGATTGTAGATACCTGCAGTTTCAGATTTGGCACCTCATGACACACATACACTTAGTGATAATGATAACTAAAACATGAATCCAAGTGCTCTCACTCTCATGTTAATTACCATTATCGGTGTTCAAAGTTTTACATAATCTGGTCAGTTTGTTATTGTTAGCGCACTTAATTGGTCGCTTTTAGGCACAAGGGGGCTATCCCGAAAAATGCTGTTTTGAGAAAATCGAAGGTAAAGTTTTTGCCCCTTGTTCAGTGTCTTTAAAAGACAAGGAGAGTTGTCTCTATAACCAAACAAATATACACACCAATGACACCAAACTTCTCCTTTAGGTAGGGCAATGCCCACTTTTGGTGTAGGTCAAGATTTCTGGAAACCTCCGAAATCTAGGTTAGTCCGTTTGTGCTTAAAAGCGACCAATTAATCGGCTGCCTGCACTGTATGGTTCCTTGGAGCAGAGAATGTTTCTGAGTGTAATAGGGTCTGCTGGGGTAATGATACATGAAGTTGTAAGCTCCTGGAGTATGCTGCATGCATAGTTAGCGCTTTATAAATGTTTTTATTATTATTATTATTATTATTATTATTATTATTATTATTATTATTATTATTATTATTATTATTATTATTATTATCATCATTATGATTATTATCATTATCATCATTATTATTATTATTATTATTATTATTATTATTATTATTACTATCTATTATTATTGCTATTATCATTATCATTTTTATATTTTTAAAATTATTATTATCATTATTATGATTATTATTATGATGATTATCATTATCATTATCATTATCATTATCATTATCATTATCATTATCATCATCATTATCATTATCATTATCATCATCATCATCATCATTATTATCATTGTCATCACAGCAAACAACTAAACCTTACAGGTTTGCCACACCACCACCCTTTCTCCACAACACATTCACGAAACAAAAAACTAACAATGCACGTAATCCATTCTACTGGGGTGAAAGTACTGAAAGCAAGGCAACGCGATCTGTCCCCGTGGTTTTATGCACCCCGCACAATTTAGCAAAATTTGATCTTTAATTTTTGTGCATAATTTCTAATTATTTTCCTTTATAATTCTTGGTTAAAATTAACAGAATCGCAAAATTTCACATTTTTGGTCTCAGTTTGCATAATTTCAGAATTGTTCTTGCATAAAACGACGGGGACAGCGCGATACATTGGTGTCAATATAGTGGTGAGAAGAACGTCATTAACCCTTTGGTACACAAAGTATAAAGCAATCGACTGAGGATGTTCAAATTGGACATATGACCTTTCTGGAGCATTCACAACCCTGGGGTTATTTTTCAACAAATAATTTTAGGAGAGAGGGGTCAAAATGTCCAAAATATTGGATAGTATGCAACAAAGGGTTAAGAAATGTTTTATAATTAGATCATTCAGAGTAGAGCAAAGAACTTGATTGATCATCGTTAAGGTGTTCTTGAAAGGAGAGAACAGGAACGTATACAGTAATGTTTTAAACAGAATTTTTTTAAAAAGGTTGGAATAAACGATCAGTTGATATTATTTAGAACGTAGAAAGAAGAGGGTCTAGAAAATATAAAAACTTTGTGTTTATGGATTCATATATAAGATGGAACAAATATAATAATATTGGTCATTTTCAGGATGCAGAAAGAAGAGAAAGAAAGACATAATATAGAATAGAGTTAAAACATGTCAAAATAGGATGATATAAAATACTGCTTACATGTAGAATGGAGAAATAAGAGAATGAGGGAAATTCTTCAAAGATTTATTCAGAGCAAAATATAGTACAGAGTCAGTATAGTGTGGAAGAAAGGCATTGCTGATATGTAGGATAATTTACAAAGGAGACAGTAAGGAACATTATTTTTTATTTTTAAAAAAGTTTTACACAAAGCCAGTAAAGGATGCACTAAACGTATTGGCAATCTTAAGTATGTGCAAAGGAGAGTATGAGACAAATATAAAAGAGTTTTATACAGAATTAACACATGATGCATTAAAACTATTGCTAATCTCTGGCATGTACGAGTAGAAGGGGGAGAATGCGGGCATTTTATAGGAATATTTTATACAGATTCAATATAGTACAGTTAATATAGGTTGGACTAAAAGTATTACTGCTCTTTAAAATATAGAAAGAAGACGATGAAAAAAAAGAAAGTTTTATGAATAGTCAATATTCGAGTAGTACAGTCAGTAGTATAGGCTTGAATAAAAGTATTGCTGATTTTTACAATGTAAAAAAAAGATTACAAGACAAGAGAAAAAGTTTTATACATAGTCAATATAGATTGGA